TGGGAAACCAGAATTCCATAAATCCCACTTCTCCAAAAAAACCCCAACCATTACCAAACTGATTTCCGTTTTCTTCTTATACTTGCTTTGATACCCACAAAGATAAATGAAGTGGCAATGTTTGTGAAATACCCGATCTACTGCATGTGTATTCAAAACCAAATCCATCGGCACATTAGCCCATCTGCAGAGAGATTAGTCAGAATCTCTCTCCTCAACTTTTCCCTCCTAAGTCTCTTGCCGGGCTCCTGCCTCCTCTGAGTTGATTTCACTTTTAATTTTATGTTTCCATCAGTAGCAGAGAAGTAAAACAGCTGAAGGGGACAGATAAGGGACTTAGCCCACTACAACCACCATCCAGCTCCAAATGGGATTGACTGGCTGAGTGCCTCCAAATCCTCCATGGATATGCAATTTCATAGAAAGAAAAAGCTCCACACACAAGGAAAAATATGCAGAAAATAATAAAGCCACTTTAGGAAAAGTAACAGCTTCAGCAATGTGTGTATGATTATAGCCTTAATTCAAACAAAATATAACACACACGCTCTCATGTTACCCAAACAAAAATAAGATGATGATTTAATTTGTCTTTTTACTAAATGATTTAATTTTTAGCAAGCCATTACCAAAGGAAGAAATAAAAAAGGCAGTATCACCTGAGCCTAACAATGAATCTCATCCACTTGTCTTTCACATCAACCAGTAATGGATACTGAGGAAGACTGCAAAATGGGAGTGCAACAAAACAGATAGGGAAAAAAGCGCTAAGGAGAATTTGAGGAAGGGCAAAACTAGGTTAAGGCAGGGGGAGGAACTAAAATAATGCCCTTAGTTTTGCAGACAGCTGTGTATGCACCATATCAGTGACCCAAGGCTTTACTTCCATGGATGAGCACACATGGGTTTCTAGGGAGGCAGTTCCGAGCAACAGCAAGCTGCTCGTTGTGAGCACTGCTCTTGGCTGTGCATGAGTGCTCCCTTATCTGATGGCAGAAATGGAGATGAGCTTTGCTGCATGCAGAGGCAGAGCAGCGGTGATTTGGCCAATCTTTAATTTTTAATATGTTACCTAGTTAACAGGAGGATTAAGACTGTACCAGCCCTACCAACTCCTTTGTCCCAAACCAGGCAGATCTCTTCTGCCCCAGTAGTATGCAGTGCTTTCCTCATCCCTCCCTCTCACTAGCTTTCTTTTAAATTATTCCATTTGCCTTCACAACTTGCTTTTCCTTGATCTCATAATAGGATGATGACCCCCTGATCCCTTTTCAGGAGCTTTGCCTGCAACCTAGCCTTTCCAACCCAGACTGCCAAACTTCCATTTGCTCCTTATTTCCCTCCTGCTGTGCCACCGGTGTCATCAGTCCCTTTCTACATCTCGAACCTCCCATTTCATTTTCTTTCACTGTTTTTCTGCTAGAAAAGCTCAGTTTAGGCTATTCGCTGCTGAACCATCACAGCAGTTACTGAGTAACAAAAAATCAGTGGAATATTACAACATTTGCAGCAGCTCATTTAGCAGCACCGCAGATGTTTTGCATGAGGGGAGCACAGTGATTTCTATTTGCTCCTAACAATTGGACTATCTCCAATTTGAATGCTGCTGGGTTGGATTGTGGGGTTTTCTGATTTGGTAAAATCAGAGTCTTCATTTGTGATCTGTGCACAGCACAGGTCTGCAAGCGACAAGTGAAGGGTGGGATCACTTCATTCTGAGAGCATGGCTTATCCCACTATGGACCAGGCACCTCCAGCCGTGGGGACCAGATGCCCGTTGCCCTGAACCGCTCCAGGCAGCTAGCAAGGGTAGATCTGACACCCACCCTTCACGTGGTTCAAGCTGGATGAGGAGGATGCTGTCTTCGGGGACTTTGCCTGCTAAAGTGATCATAGCACCCCAGCTAGGAGCTGGAGAGGTACTGCAGAAGCAAACGCTACAGAAGCTGGGGAAAGGAGGCCGGGGGGGGGGGGGGGGGCATAATTGTTTTGGCAAGATCCCAGTTTTACAACAGATTCCTACTACTCGCTGTCTTGTCTGCTTCTGGGCATCAGGTTATTTCTGGCTCTGCTGACAGCCGTTTCTGTTCATACAATAACTGTGGGTAGCAGTGCTAGCTCTGACATTCAGACTTAATTGACCCTCATCCCTCAAGGACATAATGCAGAACAAAGAAAGGCTATGCTATAAATACACTGAAATAGGCCACGCACCCTTGTCTGGAGAGCCCTTCATCTCTCCTGTCATCGTCTTGCTTGAGGGCTCACTGAGACCATACGTTCTCCATGGTGCCTCTCCCAGGCACATGGCCAAGAGCAAATGCGTGGCTGTGCAGTCTTGCTCCAGCCCATGGAGATGCTCCAGCCCCTCGGAGGGCACTGGTCCCCCTGTAACTGCTTGCTTGTCAACTCAGAAATTGCTACCAGTCCCAGGTGGCCCCTTCGCTGCTTTTGGCAGGGCAATTTGCTCAACCGTTTCTGCAGTGGAAGCCGGAATTACCAATACTTTACGGTGCAACTGCCACCAACAAACATTCCCCACTTGGGCAAAAGATGGGCAGCCTAAGCTAAAACTTGGGTTATACAGGCCTGTACTTACCCACATATAGTGGCATCATCAGTGAAGTCATTACTTGAGACAACAGAGGTCTCAAAACAGTAGTTTTGGTTGGGGTTTTTTTTCCATGCATGTAAACCTGTTCTTTGCGAGTGTATATATACATAGGACATACCTGTTGATTCTCTCTGAGTAATTTCAGCTTGCTTTCTGTAGCTCCGTCACAATCCAGAGAAGGTGGATGGGAATCTGGGGCTTGAGGATTGCAGGAATTCTGGGAGAGGCTGCTGGGTGACCACAGTGCCCCAGAAAGGCACTTGCCTTCCACTTGCTTCTTCCTTTTTAATATTTAAAGTTTCAGATATTTTTAGTAAGCTATTTGACAGTCCACTACTGTTAATTACAAGGATAACCACTGTAAGTATTGAAGTGTGGCTTTGTGATGGCTTAGCCCCTCAGTTGAACGTTATTATATACAAAATTCAAACTATTTTTCCTGTGCATTATTTTTATTTTACATATCTATTTAATCTGCAATATAAAAAAAGCATCTGTCTTCATATTCCAGCACTACAAATACAGCATGACAAATTATATACATATATACAGATATCCACCTCTCAGACTGCACAGCTGTTAATAAATATGTATTTTACATTTATCCAGTAACTGCTGTTCAAGGTTTCTTTCCAGATGCTCAGGGGCGAGTTAAACATCACTGATTAGAGGGTGATGCATTCACCATATCAAAAGCTAGCAAAAGTTGCTCCTTTGATAACAAAAGAGACAGCCAGTGGTGATTAAACCCCGCAAATGTTCTTGGGGAAGTGTTTGAAGCAAACAGCAGACCCTGATCAAAGCACACAGAATGTAAGCAACACAAGGCTAGTAGGAAGGAATCCTGTTGTTTGTTAGACCTGCACACATTGTCGGAGAAAATGGACAGCTTTTGATACAAAAGCCTTTCTTCAGGTCTACCATTTGCTCTGTTCTAAGCCAGTACTCCTGCTGCTGCGGCAGAGGTTAACTTTTGCTGTCAGACACGACTGGTGCCACGCTGCCTATCAGTTTAAGGGAATCATCTCAGATCTTAATTATTCCAGTACAGAAATGCAGCTCCCAAGGATAATTTATCTGAGTTATTGAAAGAGGGCTCTGTCAGAGGAAGAAGAAAGAAGCCGTTGAAAGATGTATTTGTTAAAGCCCAACACTTCTGTTACGACAATGGCAACAAACTATTTTCTGACATGGTAAAGGTTCCCATAGACTGAAACTGTCTGAAGGCTGTGTCTCACTCTTTGGCTTTGTGCAACTTTATTCCAGTGACTTCATATATTTATTTGCTTCTTAATCTGTATCTATGCATCCCTCTGCCCTGTCACCTGCCTGACTGCTTGCCTGCCAAGCTGAGATTGAAAAAGCCCTTCTGCCACTTCCTCCCAAGAGCTGCAAGACTGACAGAAAGCACACCTGAGAGCAAGCAGAGAGCTGAGAAGAGCCCTCTCCAGCTCTCATTTGCAAGGGGTTCACTGCTTCCCAGCTCTTCCTCATCTCTCAGCAGCAGCTTCCTCCACCCTGAGAGTTTGGGGTCTCCACTGGGAAGGAGGCTGAGCTGATGATAACAGCCTCAGCCACATGTGGAATGGCAGAGAGGAAACAGTGGGACAGGGAGAAGGGGAAGGTCATTAACCAGGATGAGAATTTCTGCAAGGGCATCATTTGACACAGAGATGGGCAACAACTCGGAGAAGAAAGAGCCTCAAGTTCTTGCCATACCAAGGAGGTTGTGAATGCTCCATCCCTGGCAATGTTCAAGGCCAGGTTGGCCAAGGCCTTGGGTGATATGGTTTAGGCCCATGGCAGGGGGGTTGGAACTTGATGATCTTAAGGTCCTTTCCAACCCCAACTATTCTATGATTCTATAAAGCAGATTTGGGGTTTGGAATTGATTTATCCTGACCATGAGTTGGGTACCTTGGAGAACTGTGGGATGGGACTGAAGTGGGGAGAGGCATGTGCAAGTCTGGGGAGGGGAGGGTGGCTCTTCTGTGAGAAGCTTGTTTGAAACTGCCTCGGGTTCACATGGGTGGGTGTGTGTGGAAGGAACGAGACAAGGACAAGAGGGACAACATGTTAAGCCAAGCCTCTATTTTTGTGCCACTAAAGTGAATTTAGAAGCATTTTGACTGAAGGTAATGCTGACACATGCTCCAGTTGCAGAACTGCCACTTTACTTCCAAACCGTCTGTGATCAGAGAACACTGTCACCAGCCTGCTCTGCTGCCAAACAGGGCAGCAGGAGTGTGACAGGGTGGCTGACTAACTTCCAAATGTTAACTCTAACTTTTCCTCCAGTTTTACAGAAGCAGGCTGCCAGTTTGTGATAGCAGTGCCTTGGGCAACAGGACTGTTACTGCTCTTGGGATGCTGCACACTGCTCCGGAAGTCTCATCACATAGCATTCCATGAGGAATGCACCTTCATCTGTTTCCTCAGGGGCTGTGTTTTCTCAGTCTGTATAATATTGTGTGAGAAGCTGCTGCAAAGTCCTCTGCAAAATGTCACTTGCACTTTCCTTGTCAATGCAGAGCTCGGCTGTTGTTACAGATTCTGGCTGTGTACCAGCATGTACCTGTTTATTCCCCTTACAGACAGATACGATACATTACAGTACGTTGTGTACAAGACTCTCCAGAGAGCACATATATAGTTTAACAATAACACATCACCAAATGTATTCCCTCTCAGAGACAGAAGAAGAAACAGTATTTCCCAAAGCAAACACAACCCCCATCTATCCAACCCTTCCATATTCCTGCAGACAAGAACCTGGCGAGAGAGATGAAAGCTCCTCACAGACCTTGCCTATGACATGGCACAGCAGGGGTCTTCACTGGCAATGTTGCATAGCCGTGGCAGATCAGACCTAGGCACATGGTTTGTAACCCCTCAGAAACGTCCATAAGTTACTGCCCATCAGGTTGCTCACACTGCAAACCATCGGATGGTTTTGACAGCTGTGTTCTGCTGAGACTGTAACTTCCCTGGAGACTCTCAGGCGTGATGCCTGAGTATGGGTGGGGTAATGCCATCCGTAACTCACACATACATGGGTAAACATAGAAAAGCTCCATGTAAAGGTGCAGAGAGATGTGAATGGAAAAAATAAAAGCTTTTCACTATATACATTAACAGAAGTTCGAGAAGAAATGGGGGCATCAGACACCCCCCCACCCCCTCCCACCCCCCCCGAATGCATTTCAGGATTGCTGTTCTTGTTTTTCTCTTTCCCCCCTTCTTTTGGCTTCTCCCTTCTGCCTTGTTGACCATTTCCATAACTGTTGCAAGGGTGCTATTTTTCTCAGCACTGTTTCCAGCAACTTTTTACTTCCTTTTGCCACATCTTTCTTTGTATTTCTTTTAGTCTCACTGGTTACACACCTCACCCTACTGCTGGACCAATATCCCCCAAAACTCACACTGCATATCTGCTCATTCCTCCCTATTATCTTTGCTTCAGCCACAGCCCCAGTGACCTCTGAACTCGTCTCCTTCTTCCCTGCAGAGGTCTTAACCTCAAAAGAGCCTTTTCTTCTCTCATTACCTTTTTATCATTTCACTGCAACTTTTTCAATGTCACTATCTCTCTTTTCCACCACCAACACAACCATCTCAAAGCTACCCTTATGTTTTTTCTTCGAGCCTCTCCCGAGACTCTCCTCATTGAGTTTCCCATAAGGATCCCTGCAAAGATCACAAGACCCATAGGAATCCCTGCCAAAGTGATGAAATATGCATTGGCTCTACCTGTGCTGATGCTGATAGCCCTTTGGAGCCTCCCATGTCAATCACAAACTCTGCTGTTCACATGGTACCCTTCAAAGATGATAAACTAAGCACAGACTCCTGCAGAGAAAATAAAAGCCAGAAGGGTTCCCCTGGTGCTTCACATTACACTGGAGCTTCAAAAAGGCAGGGATAAACACATTCAAACTTTGAAGGCAAGGAAGTGCAGCAAATTGTTGCAGAATGACTCATTTAAAGGATTTTCAGAAATGTGAAGGAAATACACAGCACTTGTTTAAGACACAAGAGTGATGCGGAGCAGAGTGTTATAAAACTTAGGAAACTGCATAGGGAAAAGGGGAGATCAGGAGTCAGAGCCTGGAAATTCAACGTTAAGTTACCACAACTGCTGCACACACAGGCAATCAGGACCAAGTTGATTTAGAAAGGCTTCATCCTCTCTCAGCACCTTGCTGCCTCAGGCTCTCTAACAGTCAGGGTTTGCCCCTTAGACTATGAAGTATTTGACACCCTAAACCCTCTGTAACTTTACCAGTTCTTTGGCCCATATTGCCAATACCATCCTAAACTAGGTCTAGCACAATTTAAGTTTCAGACGACACACATAAGGGAATATTCTTGCACACAGGGCTGCAGTCTTCTTGCAAATTGTAAAAGCTTAAAGTAGTTAGCAATTTCCCAGGCACTGACATCAATAAATTATATGAGGAAAGCAGGTTGGAAATTAACTGAATCTTTGGATGAAGTACAAGAAGAAAAGGAGGGCAGGCACTGCTGCTGCCTTAGAGCAAGGACAGGAGTAAAGTCTGGGATCTTCTCATGGCACTTTGGGCAGGTTGTTGGGTACAGCCATGTCTCACCCTGGGGCAAGGGCGCTGAACAGATTTGAGCTCTTTCTCCTTCCAGCAGGAGGCAGCATGAACAAGCAGCACCTTCAGCCTGTTCACGGATGTGTCCCTCCTTCACTGAGCTGGGACTTAAAACCCCATGACACCACTACTGACGTTCATGTATGCAATTGATTTCACACTAGCAAGTTCTGCAGGTGAAGCTTTTGCTCAAGACCAATGGATTCCGCTTCAACTGTCTTAAAATGTGGCTTGTTATCTCTAAAGGTGCATTAAAAAGGTCTGTCCAAAAGACCCATTAAAGGCCTATTTAAATTAGATTTTACACAGATTCATCCCAGCCCTACCAGTTGGATGCCAGCACCTGTAATAAATGCTTGGAGAGATGTAGAGCTACTCCAGCTGCTCCAGCCAATAAGTCAGATTTATTAGAGGCTCGGCTCAGATGCCTGTATACAAAAACACATAGTATGGGGAATAAACAAGAGGAATTAGAGATCTGTGCATGGCTACAGGGATATGCTATCACTGGCATCACAGAAACATGGTGGGATGGCTCCTATGACTGGAATGTTGAAATGGAAAGTTATAGGCTCTTTAGGAAAGACACGCCAGGCAGATGGGGAGGGGGAGTTGCTATTTACATCAGTGATTGGCTGGAGAGTATGGAATTCTGTCTGGGGACAGGTGGTCATCAACAGAGAGCTTGTGGGTCAGGGTCAAAGGGAGAACAGTGACGGGGATATTACTGTGGGGGTCTGCTACAGAGTGCCTGATCAGGAGGACCGCGTGGATGAATCCCTCTATAGACAGATAGGAGCAGCCTCACACTCACAGGCCCTTGTCCTCATGGGGGACTTCAATCACTCCAGTATTTGTTGGAGGGATGGTATGGTCTGGGCAGGAGGTTCCTTAACCACGGTAGTTGTGGAATACAAATACAAATGAAACAATGCATGATGATTGAGAAAAATTACTATACAAGCCATGTTTAAATGTATATAGTTGTACAGAGCTGTAAACTGGGAGGAGAGGAAGAGGCAGGAGGAACAATCAGTTCAGGCTAGGCTGCCTCTGCTATCTGAGAGGACAAAACTAAGACAGTAGGGCATTGCCAGGCTGCACTTCTCCTGCCATCTGAGAAGAGCCCAAGGGGAGTGGCACTGTGCTAGCTCAAGCTGTTTTCCTTCCCATCTGCTCAAGTTGATTTAGAGAAGTGCATTATGCAATCTAACTGCTCTTCTATGCTGAGGTTCAAATGGATGTGGAATTGAAATTAACACATCTAGGAGAAGTTTTGAGGAAAAAGAGTGATTGTACCAAACTAGGCTTTCCAGTCTGCAATGGTAAAGGTATTGCTATATGGTTATTAAAATACTCCAACAAATCAAGGAACCAATAAAAAAGACAAAGACCAGAGGAAAGATCAAGATTAATACTAAGAAGGGCTAAGTATTCTCAATTGTATTAGCAAGGAAGAGTAATAGCATGAAAACCAGTCAGGACAAGACTAAAGACACATTACCTGTACAGCTTGGGTGTGTGGCAGCAACATAGTGATGTTATCATACACCAACAATCCAGGGACCGGTCACCTGCATTCTTTCAGATTGTCTCATATCACTGCCAGTGTGGGAAGTAGCGTTTGTAAATCACATCTGAAGTGCTTGCCTTCAGCTAAAAAGTAGTTAAACATTTTACTGGCTATTTGTGAAATGTGATAAAACATTTCTATTAATATTTAGTTTAATGAAGTCCTTTCTCAAATTTCCTACATTTCCTGTGATAAAACTATCTGATGGTGTCCTCCACACACCATCATTCCTGATCCTTGTTTATGTATTATGCACCTCCCAGCTCTTTTTGGTAAATCAGTATTGCTCTAAGGACCTAGCTTCCCTACGGAGAAGGGTGAAAGCAAGTTTGTTCTTCAACTCTTTTCTAAAACACTCAACATTCAGACACCACAGACATTCAGGGCAGGGAGAAGTGGCTGGTCACAGTGACCTGTGCGACAAACCACTTCCAGCTCAACCTAGCCTTGTTTCTTCTGGAGGTGAACAAGAAACCCCAAACACCATCACTACACTGATTCAACAGTATTATATGAATCTATCTCAGGCGTTATGTCACAGGTTCACATTAGTCCCTAAAAACCCAGTTTTCCCCGAGAACAGTCTGAGTTGTAGTTCAGGAAGGTTAATGCTCACCCTGAAGGTAGTTTAGGATGAAAAGCTAAAGAGGCCATACGTCCCTAGACAATACAGTTGTATCTGGTGCTGGCTTTGAAAATCCCCCATATGCATTGATTTGGCTTTATTCTGTGCTGTGTTTATATATTACAGACAGCTCTAAGAGTCACTGCTGCTGCTGCTGGGATGGATTTGACAACCAAGCTGCTGCCTACACTAAAAAAAAACTATGTAAGCTCATTTTTGAGGCTGAGTATCACTTCCTCAATGAGCAGGACATGCACAGGCCTTCAATATGGAGCTTATTTCAGTCCTAGAACCCAACCCAGTTCTCTCTGCAGCTGAAGTCAGTGGATAGTCACTGACGTCCATGAGATCTGGACCAAGCTTAGGAATGCCAGAGGTCTCCAGAACATATAAGGAAGCATCTTCCTATGAAAATGCAGGAAACTATCTTAAATTGCATGCTTCTTGCAGTTCTAACTAGCTAGGGCTTTGCTGATATTTCATTAAATGAACAAGAATTCAAAGCAATTAATTTTTGGAATCAAGTCTAGAGCAGAGACAGCAAAGTATTTAAGTTCCAAAATGATTTAAAAAATCATGGTATTTATAAGTTATTACTTTTTTATCTTCTGATCTGTGACTGCTCACCACAGTGATATAAAATTATCATCTTACCTCTGTCTCTCTCTGCCTCAAAGCAGTATCAGAGCAAAGAATGACTCAACAAGACTAAAACTGTTAGATATAAATGGCCTCATCAAAAGAGCGAGTGCCACAGGGCACAAGTAACTTGTTTTCAGAGTACTGACAGAATTATGTCGATTCTATTCTAAAAATGCTCATAATCATTGAAACATAAAAGAACTGGTTCTTGTTATTTTCTCCTTACAGTTGAAAATTTATAAGAATTGTAAGGTACCTACAAGTTATTTCAGGCCACTGATACTTAAAAAAGTTTTGAAAACTCATAATTAATTAAAAAGCAACTGCACTCAGAAAAAAAGACCATATGAAAATGGTAAGGTGAATGCAAAGCATGCATACAAAGAAGAAGAAGGAAGGATGCCTGAGGAAGAAGTTCTTTACTGTAAGGGTGGTGAGGCACTGGAATGGGTTGCTCAAGGAAGTTGTGAATGCTCCATCAACAAGTCCAGAGGAGGGCCACGAGGATGATCAGGGGACTGGAGCACCTCCCCTATGAAGATAGGCTGAGAAAGTTGGGGCTGTTCAGCCTGGAGAAGAGAAGGCTGCGTGGAGACCTCATAGCAGCCTTCCAGTATCTGAAGGGGGCCTATAGGGATGCTGGGGAGGGACTCTTCATTAGGGACTGTAGTGATAGGACAAGGGGTAATGGGTTAAAACTTAAACAGGGGAAGTTTAGACTGGATATAAGGAGGAAATTCTTTCCTGTTAGGGTGGTGAGGCACTGGAATGGGTTGCCCAGGGAGCTGTGAATGCTCCATCCCTGGCAGTGTTCAAAGCCAGGTTGGACGAGGCCTTGGGTGAGATGGTTTAGAGCGAGGTGTCCCTGCCCATGGCATGGGGGTTGGAACTTGATGATCTTAAGGTCCTTTCCAACCCTAACTATTCTGTGATTCTATGATTCTATGACATGGTTTAGTGTGAGGTGTCCCTGCCCATGGCAGGGGGGTTGGAACTAGATGATCTTAAGGTTCTTTCCAACCCTAACTATTCTATGATTCTATACCTTGCACTCCAAATCTTATTTCTTACACTGTAGGGGTTTGTGGCCTTATATAAATTATATTAGGTTTACTCTGTCACAGCTTCTAAAACAAGAAGCTGTGAGAGTAAGTAGAGTGGGAAGAAACAAGTTCCTTTTGCCTGTCAGACCTGTAAACTCAAGAGCTGCAACAGATTTCCACCACTTTTGTTTCCCTAGCACTCTTTAGGGAAGCAGGGGGAAATCCAGTTATTGATGGGCCTTAAAACTGACTTTTAGGATGCATTTACCACTCTTGCCTACATTTATACCAGTGCAAAGCTGGTAGTTACTGATTCACAAAGCATAGAGGAATAAACAGGATTCTATGAAACAATAAGCTTGTACAAAGTCATGTTATCAAAAGTTCATTTCCATGGCATGTGTTGGACTTACTAGCAACTGTATTTCTAATGGCCCCGATTCAGGCAGTCTTTGTGGGCTTCCATCTCCCTTGGCCAATTCAACAAAGACAGACAAAGCATCCTTTAGTTTGCCTTTGCCCAGGCAGAAGGACTCATGTTTTTCCAGACTTGCAAAAAGTACTTTAGAAATCCCTGCTCTTTCCTTCTAACTCATTTGCGTTCCAGTTCGTTCTTGTCAGTGACTGATTATGGCTGAAGCGATCGGTTCAACCTGACCTCATTTCCAGCTGTTTAGTTTTCACAGCTTCCTCTCTTTGTGGATATTTGTTGTCTCATTTCCCCCTGCAGAGGTTTTAGTCTTTTGTTTGGTTTTACTTTAGTTTTTGTTTCTTTTTGCAACCTTAACAGATACTGCAGGTTGCTTTTTGGTTTAGGCTTGCTCTGTATCATGCTTCAAAAAGCACCAAGTTGTTAAATGGCAAAGAAATGACTTGATTATAGGATGGTTTGATCCTTCCCCATGTTCAAGTTGTCTCCAACCATACGACAGGTGACAGGTATGCACAGGAATCATTGCACTCTAGCATAATGCCCACCTGGCAGTGATGGCTGTTGGAATACACAGCTCTTCCCCAACAGCTCTGCCAAGGGACAACAGCTGGGAAAAGTTAAGAGGGGCTTCAGGGAGGGAAGATGAACTGAGCCCTTGGATTCCCCAGTGCTCTGCATGTGTACCTCTCAGTGTACACATCTGTCTGGGACAACAATGTCTGGCTACAATAAACTGAGAAGCGTGATTGTGCTGTGAAGCACACAAGAGCTCAGCATCCTCCCTCTTGGCAGGCACAGTTTGCATAGTCCTAAGAGAAGCAACCACACAGTGTGTGGGACCCAAGAGGGGCATTTCTAATAGAAAAAGAGGGAAAAGAGATGGATTGTCTTTTGAGCTGTTTTACATGTGAACTCCTTAGAGTTTTTCTGACAGGTTCACATCAGGTAAAAATCTGATATCTGAGGTACTTAAATCAAGAAGTTATTTTCAAATTTCAATAAAAGTTTGCTGCATGTAATATATTTTATTTTTAAATATTGACAGTATTTTAAAGTTATTCTTTGCCTATAGCCATTATAAAAGTTGATTGCCCATACTAAAAAGGCTCAGTCTTATTGCTGTTTGGGTGCCATGTACCAAAATGCTGCAAGAAGCGATGATCATAGTTCAGCTAGTAGAACATCTGCTTCTGAGTCAGTAATTACCGATTGCCCATGCATTGAATTTAAGGGTCACTGGGCTGCTGAATGTGCTGTTCTTTTATGAAATACGAAACAAAAATTCTAATCATTTATTGGCTATTAAATAACTGATGACAGCTTTCATCAGAGACTCACAATAGCTTTGCTCCTCTAACTATGCCAGGTAATTACATTCTCTCTACCTAAATGAACTTTCAATTACAGAGAGTACTTTTCTCCTCTAAACTGTTTAAAAATAATAATGTTATGCACTGCTAAATTATTGACCTTGTCCCACCTCAGAGGAGGCTCAATTTCAGCACAAGACAAAAAGATCCAGGTACATACAAGGACGTTCTATACAAGCTTTGTTCCAGCCTTGATTCAGCTTCTGAATGCTATGCTCCTGGGATTTCTGAAGCCTCATCCACCCTGTGCAACCCCAGCTGCTGGAAGGAAGAGGTCCTACTGAAACGTACTCATTGCTCTCCCCTTCTGAGAGCAGGCATAGGAGCACAGGCTGTTTGCACCACCATGTAGTATTCCTGCTGTAGGGGACAATGGCATTTGGCCCAGTTGAACTGAAGGATATGAACTGGGGTTATTTTTATGGCCTCAGTTTTGCATTTTATTATTCAGCGATTTGGTTCAGGCACAAATCTGTCTACTTGCATTGTAGAAGTTCTCAAGAACTCAGGCACGCCTGAATGTAAAATTATGTCCCCTTCCCCAGCAAGTATTATAGCCATTCACAGCTGAAGAGAAGGGTTTATCCGCTGAGGAGTGTAATCTGCATCTACCTTATGGAAACATGTTATCCAACAGATTTACCCATTCAGCCTGGAAAAAAACAATCTCATCTATACATTTACTAAGGGATAACACACAAGAAAGAAGTAAGAAACCTGATCTCTTTATTACCATTAGTTGAACATAGTAGTATACACAAACTCCCATGTTTGCTTACAGCTGACCATTTTTCAGAGAAATAATTATTTCTTTTAAAACAATGACTACTACTCCTCACTCAATAAAGCTTCAAGGCAGATATCAAATAGCTAGAAAATCTGCAATATTCTGCACCCTGCAAGCACAAATCCTTCTTGCACACCCGCAGCCATCCCTGCTCAGTAGTGCTTGCTTTCTGCCGTGCAGTTTTGCCTAGGGATTTAGAACGCCTGTCACTGTTACCTCAAACGACCTCGGCCCAGCTTAGACAGCATCCTCCAGATTTGACCCTGATGCAGCTCTCACAAAAGGAAAGGACCTGGTCAGTGTCACTAGGATAATGAGACAAATACCTTTAAAGCCTGGAGCTCTGATCCCCTGGCTATCTGCTTTCAGTAATCAGATTCTGGAAAGCTGTTACTGTAAGTCTAGTCGGTACTGGTAAGGAGTAAGCAGCACAGTGTTGTGAGGCCAACAAACTTAACTAACGGCAGAGCAGCAGTAATAAATGTCCCCTCAAGCCATCTTTTTGAAGAGGCAAATGCTTATCAGAACTATATTGAACCCATAGGAAAGGGGAGAAGATATCAAAAGGCACTTTGAAGTCCTTTTCTTTTGTACTTTTGACACAGTAAAAGGAGAAGAAAGAGAAGATGTTCACAGTCAGTAAGAGCTGTGGGTATGAAGCTAGTTTATTACATAATTATCTCCTAAAACTCTGCTCTGTTCTTTCATGTCTATGAATTTTCACATAATACTGAAATTACTCATTCCTAGAACCTACCATTTTTTCTCATTTCATTTTGGGAGACTTGTTTTTACCAGTTGATATGAAACACTAAAATGTTTCTTAATTGCCACAGAAATCCTGAAAACAAGGACACATTGCAGGAATACGAATCTGGTGTGGTCTCATCAACAACTCTTTATGTTCTGCTAGAGTTCACATAATGGGGACAGGAGAGGTAGGGGAAAAAGACTAATTTAATAACATGAGAGGACAAAGTGAAGAGATTTTAAAACCAGTGTGGCAGAGCACTGAGTGATGTACTGTGGAGAAGATTCTGTTTGACCCAGGGCTAAACAGAGATGTGAACAAGCCAGACTCTGGCATCATCAGGGAAATAAATGGTTGGCTACCTTAACTGTAAGTCCCACCAATTTATTATCAGATCAAGCCCTGATTTCTCCTGAGCACTATCCTTCCTGTAATCCTGAACCAGAATTTCTTCTGTGAAAGTACAGACTTGATTCTTTTTTTCCCCTTCACAACACAGATGAGCAGCACTTGGTAACTGATTGCAATGTAAAATAAAACCCAACAAAAACAGAGAGAGATTGGAATTAGATCCTTCATCACTGCAGAAATGCTACACATAAATTAGCTCAAAAATCCACAGCATACTCATTGTGAAAAGGAGAGAAGGAACAGAGCTCTGCTTTGAGTAGCTGCCACTTGCAAACAAGGGGGAAAAAATATCCTACATGCACATTATTGCTGGCTGAAAGATGCCTTCAGTGGTGAAACAGATTCTGACACACTTACAGATCTCTACAGACCACTACTTCCATGTAACCACTACTTCCTGCTTCCTTCTGAATCTACTGCCCTTGCTCTGTTCAGTCCCTTCCCTATCTAGAACCTCAGATTTCCCTATTTCTGTATTTCTAGCAGTCAGTTCTAGAACCCACAGACAAAGGCTGAGGTGACCTTCTTGGCTATCTATGTGGTAGCAGACCTATAAAAAAGGTAACAACCCACTATTACTCCTGTTCACTCAGGTAGCTTAAACAGGAAGATCTCTGGTCTAAATCTAAGGATACAGTAGAGACGTAGCTGGAAGCCACTGTGATATGATACTGTGTTTATTAGAATTTATATGGGTTTTCACCTTTTAGGCATAGACATGGAAATATATCTAGGGAAAAAAAAAAAAGTTCCAAAATTAGGACCTCACCATTTTTACTTAAAATCACTTCTCTGATGAAAAATAATGCCTACGAATTGAATTACATTTAGCCAAAAATCTAATTTCTTTTTGGATATGCCACTATGTGGCGTTGTATATCAATTGCCAGTTATACACAGCATCTTCTAAATTCTCCTTAGCCAAAGGACCAAATTTCACATCATTCCCAGAGCACCACAGAACAGTGTAAGAAACAGTGTATGTTCAGGCATTCTGACTACAGGATTAAATGTAAGGGTGAAGCATGTGTCACTGATTATTTATTTGTCTTGCATACACCCAGTTTGTGATGCATGGATCCTGACATGTCCTTGACAAACAATCCTGACTGCAGGTGAACCCAATCAGAAACACCTTGCAAACACAAAACTGACTTAAAAAGGCAGATGGTACTGATGCATGAGCTCTGGTGCATCTTGTTTGGCAGGCAAATTTTACAATACCCCTGCTGCACAGCAGACAAAATGTGACATTAGCCACATCACCACAAAAACCTGGTCTTACTTTAAATTTCTAATGAAAGTGGCTTGAAGCAGAGGTGTGCGTCTTTCTGTCGGTTCTGTTGGGTGGAAAATCATCCCTAGGAATCACAAACCAGGCACTTAAAATTACTAGGCTTTTTCACCATGATCTACATTTAGCTCCCCATGTCCTGGTTCCAGTGTGGATAACAGTACCACCTTCAGGCTTGTCATAAAGAAGGATTCATTAACAGTTGTAGATATGTCAGTTGTTAGATGGGAAAGCATCACAGAAAAGGCTGTAGGATACAGCCTTAATATATCAATTCAAAATACGCTATAATGCATATAGGTCACCACATTTGGAAAGAGGAACACTAGTAAAAGACGTACAAATGATAAAGAGGCATTGTGCATCCCCCTAATGAATGAGGAAAGGAAAAGCCATTGTGCATGAAGATGTAAATTAGACATATATCATAATATATCCTTCGTGTAAGGAAATGGTATGACACCTCTCTTCCAGCACTTCCTAATGCTATATGACATAAACTACATGCATTTCTATTGTGGGTTTTTTAACTGACACCCTTAACAAAGGACACTTTAGACAAGTAACATGTTTCTGTAGTTCAATTCTGGGAACCAACAAAGACCAAGACGTTTACGCAGCTAATGAAAGCTTATTCTGTAACCAAGACTCCAGCTTCCATTATCGCCATGCTATAACTAGGTCAGACTAAATAAAGCAGTAGATTTAGATTTTAAAGGACGGTTATGAATATAAGATGAATGAAGGCTAGATGAGGTTGCCAGCTGAAAGAAGGATCACCGACAGCCCAAAAAGTCTTTTGTTTTATATTTCAGATGATAAAGTTGGGCAGTAAGCCAGCATAAAGATTTTGCAACAGTAAAGATATGGCAACAAGGTGCCTAGAAGACCCGAGTGTGAAGAAAACGCATTTAGAATCTAATGAGATCAGGCAAGCTGAAAGAAATAATTAAGATAAGCTGGTCTAGATAAAATAGGAATATTCACAAGCTTTTCCAAATAGCTGTCATCTCGGAAAAAAAGGTGGTGGGTTGGAAGAACAAATAAATGTATATGCTAGTAAGCAGGAAGATAATAGTGCCATAGACCCTTAGGAAACGGGATCAATATTTTTGCTGTCAAGAACCTTTGGCCTGGAAAAGTACTTTTAATCTACAACAGGGATGGTTTTAAATGCCTTTAGGTTCATAAAAGCTCTCAGCACTGTTTTACTTTCCACAATTGACTGGGGCAGAAGTGGCATCATGACAAACAGGGGGAAAAATATCTTCTTGATGCCAGTGTACAAAGCACTGAAAAGCACATCAGGCTTTCTGAAAAATCAATCCCTAAAATAGCATGTAAACATGAGTAAGATTGGCAGAATCTTCCTCCACTGTTTTAAACTCCATGGTTTAAAAACAATTGTCACAGAGTCTGATGACATTTAAACCATGGAAAAACCATGCCAGTCTGGGAACAAACCTGAAACCAGGTAGAGGCTTAACTCAAAATCATTGTATCTGGTTATTTCTTGAAGAGAAAACCCCACAAACAAGGCATGGATTTGGCAACATGACTGCACCTTTAAACAACCTGGCTTTGCAATGACAGCGTGTTCCCAGAACTCCAGTTTTATACCCTGCTTCGATTTGGATTTTGAATGATTCAGAATTACCGTAATTTATTCAAGAGACTCCAGAGATACAAACATGTCAAGCAAAACCGGGCAAAACCCTAAAGGCATATATATATGCACTCACAATTGACAGACCAGGGTTGTGCTCCTGTGATGCCAGAGCTAAGGCCACACTGGCAGCTTCAGGGACTCCCACGGCACATTCCCCCTGCCCCAAACCACCCCATGGCACCCTTCCTATTGCCCACTCACATCAGCATGTGGGTATGCATACAAGGGCATGTAGCAACAAGGACAAGGGGGAATGGCTTTATACCAAATGAGGGTAGATTTAGACAAGATATAAGGAACAAATCCTTTACTACAAGCATGATGAGGTGCTGGAGCAAGTTTCCCAGAGAAGCTGTGGCTGCCCCATCCCTGGCAGTGCTCAACACCAGGTTGGACAGGGCTTGGAGCAATCTGGTCTAGTGGAAGGCATCCCTGCCCATGGCAGGGGGTTGGAACTGGATGAGCTTTAAGGTGCTTTCCAACCCAAACCATTCTGTGTTTCTACAATTTCTGTAAGCCAGAGCAACAAACTGCCCTATGAATAAACCTAGAACAAAAAGAAAGCTGTCTCTCATACTGAAACAGCTGATTCACAGAGCAGATACACCAAAGTTTGTTTAGTTGCAAAGCCTGAAGATAGAGACTTTTGATACAAAACCTGGCTGTAATGATGCAAAGGGAAACACCGTGACAGGAAACAGAGAACAGTTGGTGTTACCAGGTGACTGAAATAACACCATCACCAAGGAAGAACCGGCTACCCTCTGCATTTAAGCAGCTTTCATGCTTGCTTTCACTGCATTTCACAGTCCCCTTCATTCTGGCACCTCTAAAGGCTATGCCTCGTCCCTGAAGCAGCCTTCCCCATCCCCAGGGCACACGGCTGCCTCGGGGTGCTTCTGCGGGGCTGCAGCTGGAGGCAGGCCGGCGGGGAGCCGAGCAGCCGAGCCTTGCCCGAAGGGAAAGGGCCACCGTGCTGCACCTCGCTTCGCGCAGACAAAGCAGCCGTAGTGCGGCGACAGGGCCCGCCCCCAGCGCGTCCAGCACCCCGGCACCTGCGGCCCGGCCCCGCCGCCACGGCCCCCCATCTCCACCAGCCTCGCTGCTGGCTCCTCCGCCCCGCCCGCCGGGCCTCTCCCCCCCGCCTCGGCCCCGGCCCGTAGGCGGGGCGGGCTGCGGACGGCACCTCCCGCAGCGGGGCCGAGGCGGCTCTTTCCGTCGGTCGCCGCCGCAGCATGAGCGGGCCGGGGCTGCTGGGGCCCGGTGGCGGCGCGGGGTTGCCGCCGCTGCCCAAGAGCCTGAGCGGGCTGCTGAACTCCTCCTCCTCCGGCGGCGGTGGCCAGGGCGGGCGCTGGCGGGACCTGGAGCGGCTCTACGCGCAGAAGTCCCGCATCCAGGACGAGCTGAGCGGCGGTGGCCGGGGCTCCCCGCGCCCGCCCAAGCCTCCCAACCTGGACGCGGCGCTGGCCCTGCTCCGCAAGGAGATGGTGAGAAGGGTAGGGTGGGCTGGGCCGGGCCGGGCCTCCGCCGCGGCGGCGGACGTGGCGGGAGGCGGCGGGGGGCGCTGCCGCCGCCCAACGGCCTCCCGGGGCCGGAAGGGCACCCGGTCCCGGTGGCGGAGCGGGCGGCCCCGCGTTAACGCGGCCCGGGTGCTGCCGTTGTGAGGCCCCTGACATGCACCGATAACGGCGTCGGGGGGGTCAGCCCATCCTGGGTCTGTAATGGTGGGGCACCTCCGCCTGCGGGATGAGCGGCCAGTGGCATCCCTCTGAAACTGACACCCATCTGACAAGGCTGTCGGTGAAACAAATAAGTGGCAGCACTGATTCATTCCGTTCAAGCGAAGTGCAATTAAGCATAGTTTTCTGCAGGACTGTGTTTTGGTTCTGCGGTGCGGCTTTGCTGGTGAAATCCCTCTGGGCCACCCGGCGCACCTTTTGGTTAAACACTAATTTGGGTGTTGGTGCTTTGCTGGTGTCAGCTGCAGTTGTAATGAGTAATAAGAAGCTAAGCATTGTGCAGTCGGTATTCTGAAACGTAAGATGTGATCTGGCTGGAAGTCTGCCTGGTTTAAGGCTGGTTTTCTCGTGGTAAAAAGGTGTTTGAGCAGAAGAAACTCCGCTGGAAGACTCTTCTGTGGGTTTGGAGGGACAGTGCAATGTGCTGAAATCTTAGTCTGCACCAGTGTTTCAACAAGTAGCTCAAATACAGTTTGAGATAGTATTAAAACTGTGTATTAGAACTGCCAGTTTGCATTGAAGCACAAGTGGCTATCGACCGCTGGGGCTTTTTTAAACAGTGCTCAAAGGGGAAACAAGGATATGATCCTAGCTGTCTTAATCCTTTCCAAAAAAGCAGAGATATCTCATTATAAAAGTATAATCTATTTTTCCTAATGGAAAGATCAAATGAGATGCTTGTTAAGACGTTTGATAGAGTTCTCCTTTAATACTTCTTTATCCTTGGTGATAATTTGCTAAAACTCTTCTGAAGAAAAGAATAACCCCTGAACACATCAAAGACTTTCAAGCAGCAGTCTCCTTGATTCCAGGTGTACTTTTTTGTGGCCTGTACAAATTAGAGAGACTCTTGTATACTAATAGGCTGCCTTTCATCAAGTAGATAATAGCAGTTTATTATTTATATTGAATGCACTTTATTGCAGGAGTCAGAGATAGCATTTCTATTGAGCTTGCTTTAGATTTCAGTAAGAGAATGAGGAAGAAATGCATAGCAGCATCTTTCCCTGCATGATCAAGCAAGGTACTATGTATGTAAGTTTTTAAAGATGAGAAGGTGGTGGATTTAGGTGCTTTGGAGGGGGAGGGAAGAAAGGAGAGGTCATTTCAGACCTGTGGTCCTGAGGAAGAGTCGATTGCATGGGGCTGTGCATTACAGGTTGTCTTTTAGATGCTGCAGTATAACTTGACTCAAATGCAGATTGGCTGGGATTAAAAACTTCATGATTGTGCTAGCAGGCTTGGATGTTTCTTCAGGGTTTTGCTACCTTCGGGATCATACTTGGAAGTTGTTAAGAGCTAGAGGCTTCATTTTTTCTCAATAGACTTTTCTTGTTTGACACTGGTGGCAGCTACAGAAAAACAATACATTAAATGTAACTATTTGGGAACTATTAAGGCCTGCTAAGTAATTCTGCTGAGCAATTTCTGTCTTGGAGGTTGTGCTTGGCATAAAACTGCTCTTCACAGAAAACACTGAAGTGCTTTGTGGAGCTGAAACGTGAGAGCTGCTGGTAAAAATGCTCCCTCTCCCTCAGGAGACAAAGAACCAGTCATCTGTCTCCAGGTTGAGTTTTCTGGCTCAACTCACTCCTAACTGCTCTTTGAACAGTTCTTCACCACTGTCTTGTCCCTTAGACATTAGCTCTGATGCAAGTCTGCCTGGTGGGTCTCATGTTCACATGTCATAGCATTAAGTTCAGCTTCACAGCATCCTTTCTTACCTGAGGCAAGCAGTTTGTTTAGGTGGGGTAAGCCAAACTTCATCAGCTGACACCTTCAAAGGTTGATGTTAAGACTTAATCCTTGTGCAGATAAATAGTCATTAGCTCAACGAGTCTGAAGAAATTACTTCAGCACAGCCGGATGGAGGGGACAGGACATGGTACAAATACTTCCCTTTTATTTTTCCTCCTGCTGTCTTGGTTGGTTCATTGGCTTTTGTTTTACATTTTTTTTGCAGAAAGCGCAAGTGCTTGTTTCCTCTTACAGAATAGAGAGCACAGAAGAGCAGCACATGCTTCCTGCTTCATGCTTAAGTGACAAGGGGAGAGAAAGTTGTGTTTGTGACAGAGGAAAATGGAAATGGGTGAGAAAGGTAGCATAGATCTGAAAGGCTTATCAGTAACCTCCTGGCAGCTAGTGCAGCATTCCACAGCTTGCTCCATGTCTTGTCCTGAAGTCCTCAGGTTTGGTTTGCATGTGACATCACTGAGTAATTTGTGTTGGTGTTGAAAGACAATGTATCCTATTTTTCTGAGTTGGAAGGGCGTTGTGGTGTATGGTACTTCTTGTTTTCTCTCCATCTTGCATCTTCACAAAAAGGAGCTGGTATGATAGCTCAGTAACACCAAAGGAAGGTCTTCGTGCTGGCTTCTTGTGGTTTTCCTGTGTGCCGAGTATATCTGTCCTTAGAAATCAGACACGTAAGGACAAATTTTTGGGGTAAGAATCCTCTATACCCTAGTGTTCAGGCTGCAGTAAAAGCTACTAACGTTATTTGATGAAACTGCATCTCACTAGTAACAGCCTGTTGGCTTAACACTGATTTGAAAATTGAGGCAGAAATGGCTGTTTCTTGAAATGTTGAATTGGGTAGTGGTTTTACTGCAAGACAAAACCTAGATTGAATTTGATCTGACTTGGAAGGGTAACAATATCAAATGGACAATTCCCTCTTTATTGCTAGAGAGGGAATGACTAGCCTTATTTTGCTTTGCGGTGAGACATTCTGGTTTTCTACCTGACATGAAGACACAGGCTACAAGGTAACCTTTTCCAAATGTTGCCCCAAATCTTTAATTAGCTCTGGATGTAATATTTTAGAAGTTTGGGGACCAAATTAACAGCTGCTTCATTGTAAATCAAACCTATGCTTGGGTAGTGCATGAAAATATTTGCAGGCTACAGTGCAGGCTCTCATCTTACTTCTACTTTACTTTTGCTGCCTTCAAGTAGCATGCTGTATTGTGCTAGACATACCTAGCAGTGAGAGATGTCTATGTATGTCAATGCAGAAAAGAAAATTCTAGTAAAAGATACGTAGCTGGGAAGTGGAAAACCAGTCAGAGCTCCATTTGCAGCTTTTAATACAGGCTGTTTTAAACAAAACTAGAGAGCCTATGATACTGTGTGAGAAAGACATGTGAAAGTCCCACAGTGTTACTAGAAATTTACGTCCTCTCATAATGAGGAATATAATTGATGAATTTATCTCTAATGCTTCAGATAGGAATGAACTGCTGGGTGATGTAATACAGCAAAATTCGGAAGAACACTTTGATCATGTTTTGCTGTGTCACATTGTGTTCCTTGTTCTGTTGCCCAGTTTATCCCATGGGGAGTCTGTCACCTTAGGAAATGAATTCTACTTCCATATTTCGTAACTGTTCAAGGTGGAAAGAACCTTGATCCTTTTGTTAACAGTGAGAGATACAGAGCATTGTATTGCCAGTAAGCTCACAATTGTAATGCTCTTGTTTGAATTCTTCCCTGCATAGGTTGGCCTTCGGCAGCTAGATATGTCATTGCTGTGTCAGCTGTACTCCCTGTATGAATCCATTCAAGAATACAAAGGTGCCTGCCAAGCTGACTCTAACGCAGACTGCACGTATGCTATGGAAAATGGTTTTTTTGATGAAGAAGAGGAATACTTCTAGAAGCAGGAAGATTCACCTACAGGCTGACCAATATTCTTTGGTCCTCTCCCTGTAACGCACCTCAGCAAGAATGACGGAGCCTGTATGGATCCCTCTTCCTGAGGAGGAGCACCCAGCTACCCCAAGTTGTGTTAAATTTGCTTATTTTAACAGGCTGTCAGTACAAGTTACTCATGCAAATACCACTTGAGGAAAGTGCTGTACTCTTAACTTTTGAAGAGTCCTCAGACATGCTTGACAAGAGTTTTCAATTTAATTTGCAAGGTGGGTGTTTCCAACTTCAGACCTTGGTATCTTATAACTGGAATTTTAATCGCAGAAGGCAGCAGTGACTTCGTGAGTTGTAATAACTTTGTAAGGTGGGGGGAAGCCTCTGCTGTGGTGTAAAATAGGTGATTTTTGTTTTGGTCAGCAGTATTAATAAATGCTTTTTGAACAGGCATCTGGATGCACGCACATCCTCAGCTCTACTAAGCTAGTTCTGCTCTTAACAGCTGTATCCAGTTTTATACTGGGTGGATTGTTTACACAGTTTAAGTTTCTTTTCCTTAAGCTAATTTTTACTTTTCCTTATTTCTAGCTTACAAGCTGTACCTGTTATCAGCAGGGTTCTTTTCTGTTGATCTAGTTCATGTTCTTGGTACTGCCACTTGGCATTAACTTTTATACTGTTGTCTGGATTTCTCACATCAACATAGCTCTTTGACCTGCTAAACTCTGTTCTGAAATGGTTTGCTTAGCTTTTACTGAACTGCATAGTAAAAGCACAGATTCAAACATGGTCTGTCTGCCACTGTGTGGCTTGGGATAACATTGAACTCTTGTGCAAGTGTTCTCGATCATATGAAGAATAAGGAAACCTCTCATATGACACAATGGGACAAATTGCAATATTTTATACTGGGTGAACTTTGTTTCTGTAAGGTAGACTACAGCTCTTTATAAAAAAGCAAGATAAGTATTTTGAGCACATACTTTGCATATGTTAGAACTTTTTATACTGACTTGTTCTTTGAAGTATAACTTATTTTTGTTTTCAGAAGTTGCTAAAGCACTCGGTTAAGTTTTTATTATTTCATAGTGTGTAGATATAATGCTTAATCAGCTTAGAAAATGAGAATTGCCAGCTCTTCGAGTCTTCACCCTTCTCTTTTTTTTGAAGTAAAATCTGCTCCCAATGCAATTTTCATTCCTTAGCTTTAATTCTAAAGATTGCTGTAAAGCACAGTGCCTGAATCTTGACACAAGCTAATAATTAAGGGCTTAAATCTCAAAGGGTTTTTGCATGGTTCATGTCTGGCATGCATACAGTTTACAGAAAGAACTGGAGATCACATTCTGGGGTAGCGCCTCCCTTAGTTCTTAGCAAAGGCTAGGATGTTGCAGTGATAAAAGCCAAGAGACTTCTTAGGGTGGAGTTTTTGTGCATTCCCTCTAAACCCGTCTTCTTTTAGTGTATTTTAAGGGCCGCAAGAGACTGTGCTATAATTGTGTATAAGTTCTTCATCTAGTCTGTGGCAATGGTTGGAATTTTCTTTAATGTTAACTCTGGTCTAATTAGTTCACTCACCCGAAATTAGAATAAGGCAAACACAGATAATCCAAATGGCTACATCTAAACTTAAAAAGTTGTGTGTGCTTGTGTGTATATACACACATGCATGCATACAACTTTGACTTAAGAATGTATCAGCTTTGGCTATAATTTGCTGTGCTTTTTGTATTCAGATGAGGCTTTCTGTAGTCTGTTGAAGTACTGATATTTTCTTGCTCTTCCCCCCAAAATAAAAAAGCATGATGTTTAGCATAACTTTATGTGGTGTGTATTTTAATTTACCATTTCAGGGAAACCAAACCCCCCCCTCCCCTTCCCAACTTTTCCCTCAAAAACCAAGGACTAGTGTCACCCCTGGATTGAAGCAAGCATTTTAAATTACAGTGGAAACTGTTCTGCCTGCCTGTATTTGGAACGGTAATTTCATCCTTCTCTGTCTTAATTGGATTTTACTTGGTTTTTTAATTCAACAGAGAAATCCTGTCTCTAGTAGAATTAAAGATACTGTTTTACAAATCCTTACACAGTGCCATTCATTAAAGTCCCACCGGTGAGAAGGGATTTGAGCAAGATTCACAGTACCTCTCTTATATAAATGAAGCTTAAGAATATAAATAATTTTGCCTTCTAATTTTAATGCAGCATACTTGTGAGTTGGGGAACATGGAATGTTTGGCTGGTATTTGCTGTACCAAGAGAAGCATAACAGGCATCACTCCACAACATTATCAGCACTGGAAAAAAGAATGGATTATTAGGAATTCCTAAGTTTTTAGCACCTTGTCCCATTTAATAACATCTTCTTGCATGGGAGAGAAGTTAGTCTCTATTCCTAAGGCAAATTCAAACACTGTGAAGGTTGGCAAGCTAGACGAAGGTTTTAAAACCAGTAAATTTGTTATTAGGTCAATAAGCAATTGTTCCAGAGGCAGATTTCTGTGCCTGGTGCTTCAGTTGTGAGCTCTATCTGTTTACCACATTATAATTGCATAAAGTAGGGAAATTGCTTTGAAAGAGAGGTGCTTGGTGAGAAAGTATGACTTAAATACTGAGTAATTGTTACATGCAGCTTCAAGTCAAAGTTTGGTTGAGTGCATGACAGAACAAGCTGTATTACTACAAAAGCTTGCTACCCTGGGTGCAGACCACATACCAGCATAGCTTTCCCATTTTTACTCCATAACCCCAATTTGAATTATGCATAACCATTTAAGGATACCTTTTAAGGGTATAACAAAAGAAACTCTTGCAAACTTCCCTGCCCAGTGAATACTGAACAGTTCTTTCAGTCCCACAGCCAGATTAGTACTGAGTGGGTGCAGGAAAAACTGGGCTTACAAGGAGACAAGGAGTCAGGCTCTTGCTGCTCAGGGACAGAAAACTGAGTATACAAGTTGAGAAAGCAGTCTTCCATGGATAACTCTTCACTGGCCTTTCTCCAAAGGGCCTACAAATGTGGTAAAGCAGTTAGAAATAAAGAATTATTGGGTCTGTGCTAGCTATATTTGAATATTTTTTTTTAGCAACATTCCACCCTTATTTTATTGCTATGACAACTGTAGAGTCATACAACCACAATTACGTTACAGTCTAGTCCCTTGGAAATGGTCTGTAGTCTACAAAAAGAGCAGAGTCTGGAAGAAGTGCTCTACTCTGGAGAAGGTAGGTGTCATAAAAAATGGGTGGCTGATGGCCTGGCAGCTATAAGGGATGAACATTTAGGTTCAACTTTAGCTCCTGGTGAGTTCACTGTCAGCCCTACTGATTGCAATGGGGATGGACTTCGAAGCAGGGATTTTCTTCCTGAAATTGGAACTGATGCTTGAACTCTTACTTCCAAGACTGTGGAAGAGCTGCATGGTATCTATACTAAGATACAAGAGGTATTCAAATGCACACTACAAATGTTTTCAAAGGTACCACATTGTAATGCAGTGAAACACAGTAGGTGATTGTTTAAGTTGTGAAAAAGATCAGTGTTGCTTCTAAGAAACAGTTTTCTGATAAAGGTGAGTCAAAATTACACTTTGCGGATAGCTTGGATTTGGATGTTTGCTAAAGTTGAGTTTAACTGGAGAGTTTAAAGTTGAGTTGTTTTATTAAAGCAGTGCAAACTTTGATGTAGTCACATGAAATTGGAAGGTCAGGAGAACTGTTATGCAAAAATCACAATAATATTGATAATTCATTTGGACCCTAATCATAGGTAACCAAATAATTTTGTGTGAACTTTTTAGAAATCATGTTAATGTTTTCTTGCAAATAATGTAGTTTGCAAAATTTTAAATTCAATGAAGAGAGTAGTGAAGGCCTGAGCAGCTGTCAAAAAAAGTTGATCCACTTAGTTCCTGTTTACAAACCTAAGGTTTTGTCTCCTATTTAGTCTAGTTCCTAAGGAAACAAGGCTTATGCAGTGAGACTGTCTTGTGCATTCTGTCAGTTTGCTATAAACCACACCTGATAGAAGTTGGAAAGTTGCTCTGCTTTTATAAGCCATGTAAAAATTGGCAGCTGGAGGAGGAGAGTTACTGCTGCTTCCGCACACAGGATGAAACTCACCTTTTCATTGTTGTCTGGTCACCCAGCAGCCAGAAAGCAAAAGCTGGGTGGTCACTCAGCTGCTGGCAGCTCCACAGCAGCCGGGACACATGCCATATCTTCCATGGTGCTGAGTGAAGGGGGTGAGAGCCTTCAGCACATCTTTTGGTGAGGGAGGGTGGAAACAGGATACAGCAGAGAGCTCATGGAAGACCCCAGGTGCTGCCTTTGGGACTAAATGGGATGCTGGAAGAGGTGAGTTGTGGTGAGGGATGTTACAGTTTCTGAAGGTTGGAGCTTCATGAAGTTTGGAAGGAGATGCCGAGGTCCTGGGACACAAGTTAAAAATCCTGTTTCACTCATTCTGCTGCTATGACTCAGGGGATTTTTCATGTCTTTTTTTCAACCTGCTTTAGAGTCTGTGCATGTGCTACTTGGCATGTATTTTTAATGTTGCAGTAATTTGTTGCAGGTACGCAGTTTTGCTTAACTGAAAAGAACGCGTTTTATTTGCCTTGCTGCCTAGCTAATAACATTCATTTTGCTTGAGGGATTAGGTTGCTCTGAGGGCCAGGGGAACTAATTCCCCCATTCTGTCATTCAGCTGACCGCTGGGGAGGAATGTGAAACGGGAGCATTAATTGGGTATGTGTCAAAGGGAACCCTGTCAACGGGTCTTTTCTTCTCCAGTGTGCAGCTTTGTGTTCTTCAGCCACTTTGAAAGAATCCACTCCTGTTTTCATGATGCCTGCCTGTAGAGGATACATTACCACAGTGGTTTGAGGTTCATATTCCTTTTCGTATACTAGATGCATTTTCTCAGAAAACAACTCCTCAGAAGTACATTTTTTGATCCATTGTTATCTTTGGTTTATTTGAAGCTACTAAATTTAACTAGACAATGCTGCATGACCTAAGGAAGTAACTCTTTGTTTTCTTAGCAAACTAGTTAAAAGTTCTTATTTTCCAAAATCATCTTGATTTTAATAATTTCTGGAAGTTTCAAAGCTCCCTAAACTACACGCTAAAGCTTTCTAACTGGCTGTTCCATGACCCTGTCAACTCCCAGCTCCACAACTAGCTTTGCAAACACTCAGGGTCTGCTGTGAGGATGAGTGTCTGCCCAGGCACCTCAGGGTCTGTGTAGATGTGATCTGTGCACTGTGATAAACTCTCCTGAGCTGAGGTTGTCTGGAGGAGCAGAGGTGGCCCTGCAGAATCCTGATGTGCTCCAGGGTAGATGTGATGGATTAAACAGTAGGTGATGCTCCCTGTGTGCTGGACTGGTGTCTGCAGCTTGCAGGGCAGTTGCACTTTGTAAGGAAGCGGTAAGGTTAGGAAGGGGTTCTCACTCCAGATGACCAGCAGTGAGTTTGGCCATTTGCTTTTAAATGATGGAATTTGGGAGGGGATGAATATTCACTGCAGAAGTCTGTTTCCTTTACTTTTCTGGCTCCCTTTCAGCCTTTCTATTCAGGAAAATTCATTACATGAATGTTGGAAACAACCAACCCTGAGTAATGAAGCCTACCTCTGATTTCAGAGGAATGTGCTTTTAGCAGTAGAATTTACATTTTTCAGATAAGGTTGGTATGCATTATGGAGACAAACCCATTTGTGATCAAAATACACAGGCTTGGGACTGTTTCAGCTCTTTGCTGAACTGTTGTCATGGGGTTTAAATACATTCATGCTAAGACATTATTAAGAAAGCATCTTCAAGAGAATGTAATCTTTGAGAATTCCTCAATTTAAAATGAGAGGAGAAATCCCATAAAAATCATGGGTTTGTTGGAATTTAAAAAAATGGGATTGGAGCAGACTGTTTAGAATTGTTTGTGCATAGAGAGTTCAATCCTGTGTCAAACCACTGCCTTAAATTCATGTTAGCAGTTCCATCTTCCTCACAGTTTCTACTGCTCTCTTTCAGAAATCACAAGCATTTCTTCCATGGGTCAGAAACACCCCTGTGACTATCTGGCTAGACATACAAGTAAGAGTTTGAGAGCTCATTTTGGCTCAGGATACCAGGCACTGTCACAAACAACAAAGTTGCCTGAGCCCTACCAGCCCTTGTTTAAACTCTCCTGACTCACCAAACAGCAGAACCTTGTAAGTTGCCTTTTTGTAAATGATTTAGTCAGGTCCTTACTTCAGTTCTAAAAGCACCTGGGCCACAGAGACAGTGCATTTCTTTATTTTTCCTCTCAACTCGATCTTTTACAATGTCTTTAGTTTAACTGCATCTGAAATTTAACAACAACCTGTAGCACTAATTACTTGTATTGAAAGCCCTTACAACCTACAATTTTATTAGGGTTGCTTAAGATGATGTTAAGTTCAAGCAGGTCACGCAGAGGCGAATTAACAAGTAGTGATGGAAAGTTCCAAACAGGTAAGTGCAAGTTTAAACAGGACCACATTTCTAACTTGTTCCATTACTACTAAATACCATCACAGCCTGTTCATGTCATGGCATAAAATGATTTTTTTATATGGTACATGACACAAAAGGGTAAAGTACTGAAATATTAAAATAGTAGTCTGGTATAGGGGAAGGATGTTTTACCAGAATCAGATGACAGAAAAATAATAAATCACAGTGAAAATTAATTTCTTATTGCACTAGAATATCAAAGTCCTCTTCCCACTTGGTTTTTAACCTGTATGAACACAGCATGTCTATATTCTCTGTAACAGTCCCAACACTCCTTTTT